GCTGTGACCAGATGTTAACTACCTCGCCTGGTGTACAGGAGGTCGTGGGTTCGATCCCGACCCTGACGCCTGCTGTATATTTGGACTTTGCGGTGTCTCTCTCCCCGTGGCCGCGTGGATTTTTCTCCGGGTCCTCCGGTTTGCACCCCCCTCCACATTTAGAATCCCGAATCACGCGTTTAAAGTATTTGGCTGCTATGCGTGTGCACGTTGATGAGCCACTTCGTTGAGCTATCATTTGTGATAGCCAAGTGGCTTCTGACAAAGAGCTACATATCTCCGTGGGCCTTGCCTGGTAATAGAATCAAAATTGGCAGCCCCATAGCTTTGGAAAGACTGCAGGGGGGCGGGAGAGGGGGGCTGCACCCCCCTCCTCCATGCTGAAGACTCGACCCCCCCCCCCCCCCACCTTCTCGAAGAATTAAGCAATTGTGAGCACAGCCATTCCCTAGTTTCGCACTTATTAATTGTAACACGCCGATTCAAGGAAACACGACTTCCCTTATCGTTAACACATTTTTATTTGCCGCCCCGAGGCTCTGAGCGCACGCGGCACATGGTGCAATGCACGATTTTATGAAAAGCGAAAGGCAGGCGAGGATTTCCTTCCACGCTCCAACGCGAGGGATGGACACACATGGACACACATTCTCATTATCTGCCCGTGTTGGGACAATGCACGCTTGGTAGACAGACGAGATTCCTCCCAATGTCAAAAATGGATGGCCCGGTTTAAATGTGGCTATCAGCCAGACTTGGCGATTTTCTTTTGCGACGCTTTACCAAAGCGTGCCTGTGAATTTCACCCTGCGCCACGTTCAAGAGGACTACTGCAGTTCCTCGGGTTAACGTTCATAATCCGTTCCACGTACCACGACTGTGAGCCGAAATAGCTGTTCATCGAATTGTCTTAGACGTGGAACAACAATCAAACATCACCGAGTCTGCAAGAGAGCTGTTTTTCCACTGCCAAAAAAAAAAGAGAACTTAAAATGTAAACAAATCCCAGTCGAGGTCTAAACCGCTCATAAATGGGCGTCGCTGATTGGCTGAGGGCATGGCTCAGCTCCCCCACTTACGAGCGCTCGGATTGGCCGAAATTGGCGCCCGCGTGCTTAGAACGTAACCACGTGACCGTTTGATCACAATGCTCGCGTTCGTCGAAACCGTGGGGGGGTCCTACGGGAGGCGGTACGTTCACCGAAAAAGCGTTAACCGATGTCACCGTTAACCGAGGCACTGCTGTATCATCGTCGTCACAATGTGATGAGTGCAGCGACACCGCTCAACAAGCCCCGGCTTGTGTATTTGTGTTGTCCTTTGTTGTCTTGAGTGTGACGTTTACATTTATTCGCTTCGCTTTCACGGCGCCTTGACATGCTTATGGTATTTAGATTATACGTCCAACTGTTTACGCAATTATTCATTTAATTTGCAACGGTGGCAATGGATAAAACACTGTTACCATCGCTATCATCGTCGTCATCGTCTCGGTCAGCAATGGCAGTCGAATCGGAAACAATCAAGGACATCAACACCATCAGCATATCACGTGAACATCGTCATCAACAACATAATCATCTTCATTGCAAACAGCAGTCGCATACAATTAGGGTAGGTCGTTGTTTAACGCGGTCGATGCGTTCCTGAAGAGCGGCGCGTTAAGCGAAAAAAAAACGCGCGACAACAATTTCCCCATAAATAATGTGACGATAAAGTTTGCCGACACATTTTGGCGGGTTTACATTGTACTACTGCGCACACACACAGTGAGATGGCGGGACTAAGAAGTGAGGAATGCGCTGTGGCGTTACTGTATCATTCTGCGTACTGTATCACCGTCCCGCTCAGCCGCGCAGCTCAACAAAGTAGTTCGTCATCGACCGCTCAGAAGACGTTCTAACAGTGCGCGTTCCCCGTTATAACGGTGCGAGTTCCCCGTTATAACGGTGCACGTTCCCCGTTATGACGTTGCGCGTTCCCCGTTATAACGGTGCACGTTCCCCGTTATAACGGTGCGAGTTTCCCGTTATAACGGTGCGAGTTCCCCGTTATAACGGTGCGAGTTCCCCGTTATAACGGTGCGAGTTCCCCGTTATAACGGTGCACGTTCCCCGTTATGACGTTGCGCGTTCCCCGTTATAACAGTGCGTGTTCCCCGTTATAACGGTGCGAGTTCCCCGTTATAACGGTGCGAGTTCCCCGTTATAACGGTGCGTGTTCCCCGTTATAACGGTGCGAGTTCCGCATTATAACGGTGCGTGTTCCCCGTTATAACAGTGCGAGTTCCCCGTTATAACGGTGCGAGTTCCCCGTTATAACGGTGCGAGTTCCCCGTTATAACGGTGCACGTTCCCCGTTATGACGTTGCGCGTTCCCCGTTATAACGGTGCACGTTCCCCGTTATAACAGTGCGCGTTCCCCGTTATAACGGTGCACGTTCCCCGTTATAACAGTACGCGTTCCCCGTTATAACAGTGCGCGTTCCCCGTTATAACGGTGCGCGTTCCCCGTTATAACCCGAGCACGTTCCCCGTTATAACCCGAGCACGTTCCCCGTTATAATCCATGCGCGTTCCCCGTTATAACCCGAGCACGTTCCCCGTTATGACGGTGCGCGTTCCCCGTTATAACCCGTGCGCGTTCCCCGTTATAACCCGGAGGAACCCCGTCGTCGCGAAAACGCGCTGCAAGCGTGAACACGCGTTAGGCGAGGACTCGCCGCGTACGATGCAACTCGGGCAGACGCGCACCGTGGTGTCGCAACGCAGCCGCATCTCCTCAAGGGCACTGCCCCCAGTATCAGCACGAGTGCCACAGCAGCGGCCCAGCTGGGAACGTGTGCCAAGCGCGGTGCCGCTGCACCACGACCTGGCCTCCCAGCGGTCGCTGGCGGGCTTAGAGGAGAGGTCAGAAATTGGCACTCGGGGGGTGGGCGGGAGGTGGGCGGATGGGGGCGGGGGGGCGCTCCCCCCCCCCCCATGTTAGTTCCTTACACGAGGGGCCCATGCCCAACCACGCTACGCCAGCGGTCGGCAACCTTTCAAAGAAGAAGAGACATTTGTTTTTCGTCTTTGACCAAAATAGTTCGAGAGCCGCATCTCACGCAGATCCCCTTGTATATGAACACAGCAGCAGCAGCGCAGGTATACAGCAGACGACAAACACATGATGACTTAAACAAAATAGGTAATGGAATAAACGTGGCTATTTTTAATAACAAAACACACTGTTGTACATTCTGTTGTTACCAAGACATTCCACATAATGACCCATTCCCCTCTGCCATATTTGATCAATTTTGTTTACGTTCAATTATGTTTGAAGATTTAAGGAGGGGGTTTTTCTTCATTGTTTTTTAAACCGGCTGCCCGCAAAGGGGGAAAGCCGCTGAGCCACCGCATGCGGCTTCGGAGCTGCAAGTGTCCGACCCCTGTGTTACACTGCATCTGTTGTTCGTGTGCGTCGGCGTTGTTCACGCCTCCAGTGGGGAGCGGTGGTGTAGCGGTTAGCGCTACGCTGCGCTACGAATCCCACGGACCCCCAAGTTCGTTTCCCCCCAACAGCACCAGTGACGGTTATCTGAACCGGTTCTGGGCCTCCCCTAGGTCGACTCAGCCTCAAATTACTTACCTGGTGCGGCGTGTAAACATCGCCGCTGGGGAGGCACAGGCGGCCGGGCGTGGTTGCTGGCCACCCACCCCTTCGTGTGCCACAGTGGCAGCCTTCATAGGTGCTCGCAAAAAGCACTTGCCCCAACAGCCTGCTAAGGTTATACGGGAGATCTTTGTATTTGTTCTTTGGTGTGGGATGTGGTGCAGGCCACACCATCCCCTCGCGTGCCACAGTGCCAGCCTTCATCGGTGCTACTCGCGAACACACAGCTACTTGCCCCCAACAGTCTGCTAAGGCTACACGCGGGGTGGGGGGTGGTGTGATGTCTCGTGTGGTGTGATGTCTCTCGTGGTGTGATGTCTCGTGTGGTGTGATGTCTCGTGTGGTGTGATGTCTCTCGTGGTGTGATGTCTCGTGTGGTGTGATGTCTCTCGTGGTGTGATGTCTCGTGTGGTGTGGTGTCTCTCGTGGTGTGATGTCTCTCGTGGTGTGATGTCTCGTGTGGTGTGATGTCTCTCGTGGTGTGATGTCTCTCGTGGTGTGATGTCTCGTGTGGTGTGATGTCTCGTGTGGTGTGATGTCTATCGTGGTGTGATGTCTCTGGTGGTGTGATGTCTCGTGTGGTGTGATGTCTCTGGTGGTGTGATGTCTCTCGTGGTGTGATGTCTCTCGTGGTGTGATGTCTCGTGTGGTGTGATGTCTCTCGTGGTGTGATGTCTCGTGTGGTGTGATGTCTCGTGTGGTGTGATGTCTCGTGTGGTGTGATGTCTTTCGTGGTGTGATGTCTCGTGTGGTGTGATGTCTCGTGTGGTGTGATGTCTCTCGTGTGGTGTGATGTCTCTCGTGGTGTGATGTATATCGTGGTGTGATGTCTATCGTGGTGTGATGTCTCTCGTGGTGTGATGTCTCGTGTGGTGTGATGTCTCTCGTGTGGTGTGATGTCTCTCGTGGTGTGATGTCTATCGTGGTGTGATGTCTCTCGTGGTGTGATGTCTATCGTGGTGTGATGTCAATCGTGGTGTGATGTCTCGTGTGGTGTGATGTCTCGTGTGGTGTGATGTCTCGTGTGGTGTGATGTCTCGTGTGGTGTGACGTCTCTCGTGTGGTGTGATGTCTCGTGTGGTGTGATGTCTCTCGTGGTGTGATGTCTCTCGTGTGGTGTGATGTCTCGTGTGGTGTGATGTCTCGTGTGGTGTGATGTCTCTCGTGGTGTGATGTCTCTCGTGGTGTGATGTCTCGTGTGGGGTGGTGTCTCTCGTGGTGCGATGTCTCTCGTGTGGTGTGATGTCTCTCGTGTGGTGTGATGTCTCTGGTGGTGTGATGTCTCGTGTGGTGTGATGTCTCTCGTGGCGTGATGTCTCTCGTGGTGTGATGTCTCCCTGCAGACCACAGCCAGGCCGGTGCAGGAGGTGGTGGCACGGGTGGCAGTCTCGGCACCATGCTGTTGCTCGGCCTGATGAGCTCGCTGTCGTCGCTGCTGCTGGGCATGCTCCTGGGCTGGCTCATAGCCCGCAAGGTTTGTCCGCTCGCGCCCCAACACGACAACGACCACGGCCTCCCCTAGGTCGACTCAGCCTCAAACGAGTACCTGGTGCGTTGTGCAAACATCGCCACTCGGGAGAAAAAGGCGGCCGGGCGTGGTGCTGGCCGGCACATCCTCCTCGTGTGCCGTGCCGGCCTTCATAGGTGCTCGCTAACAGCACTCGCCCCAACAGTCTGTTAAGGCACGTGAGTGTCGATCGCGAGTTAGAGCTCCACATGCACACACACACACACATACGGATCAACTCGGCCCACTCATTATCATTTCCACTGCAATCGTCACCTCAATGTTTATCATTATCACTACCACCTCTAAATATTTCCATTACCGCCACGATCGGTAGCATCACAGTCGTGGATGTACCCAGTTGAATATCTTTCCAGCAGCCATGCACAACATTTTCTATTGCTCACTTCCCCCGCCCCCGCACCCCCCCCCCACCACCCCCAGACGATATCGGCAAAAATTTGGCCAATTTATCTCTTGACAGCCTTCAAATAAAGCCACAGCATGTTATTGCCACTTTCACAATATAGTAATCTTGGCCGTTGTTTTTTAAATGTCATTTTCGTTTTTTTTCTTCCAATAGTACGATATTTAAACGTGAAAAATTGCCCTGCGGAGACTGAACACCACCATAGGAATGTGGAGTGCTCACCATTGGTGGGGGTGGAATTTGAGAAACTTTCCCCATCATTTCAAGTCCAGTGTGACAACCGCCACACCACGGCTTCAAAACATAGACGCTATATGTGTGGGAGTCTGTTGTGTGGGTGGGGAGCGGTAGTGTAGCGGTAGTGGAGCGCTTAGGGCGCTGCGCTACGAACCCGGTCGATGCTAGTTCGATTCCCGCTCACGGCCAACATCGGTGACGAATATCTGAACCGGTCCTGGGCCTCCCCTAGGTGGACTCGGCCTCAAATGAGTACTTGGTGCGGTGTGTAAACATTGCCACTAGGGAGACAAAGGCGTGGTACTGGCCACCCACTCCCTCGCTGTATCGTGCCACCCTTGAACGGTGCTGCTCGCTAACAGCGCTTGCCCCAACAGTCTGTTAAGGCTAAACAGGGGATCTTTGTCTTTTTTTTCGTCTGCCACAGCAAGCACAATCAAGAAAGCAAGCGCCACAGGCCCCAGAAGGAGACCCGCTGCGGGTACGTTCTTACGGTGCCCACGAGGATGTGGGCACTTCCTCCCGCACGGCATACACGTCTACACCCCCATCGGAGCCGAAGCAGAATATGAAGCGGCATTGTGCATCCCCGCGGGCTGATGTCTCCAGACGCCGTGGCTCCGTTTGTATAAAACCCAGCGCCGGCAATGCTCCTACCGGCCCGTGTCAGAGGCACTCGGCCACCACTGCGGTGATCCTGGATTCTGATCCAAGGCGATTGCTTAGACGAGGTTCTCCAATCGCGTCACGCAAGGTTGAGGCAATAGGTGGGTCGCGTTTGTAGGCTGGAGGGAGCAGGGCAGGTCACCGAGATGGGCATTGCAGTGGCACCCACCCAGAGGTCTGCGACCAAGGGGAAGACCTGGTGCCAGACCGTGGTGGTGGTGGTGATGAGGACTATCAGAGTGGCCTTTGGAAGTCAGGTCACGACTTTGAAATAGTTGTGAGATCCTTAAAAAAGAAAGTACGTAAGCCCTGACCGGATATCTCACTTGTGTCGGTACCCACCTGCGGTGGCATCGGGTCGAGCTGTTCCAATTTCTTAAGTGGCCAATGGCAGTGAATCATGTGATACCCACTTGAAAATCAGTGGGCCCTCTTTCGTATCGCTGACATAGAAGCGGAACAACAACGACAATTTCGTGCCAGGAGCAGCGGAGTGTGTCGCTGTGATGTCTCCTTCGTGTTGGTGGATTGGGAACTGCGTCGTTATATGTGGATGCCCACAGTCGCACGCTGGACAGTTTTTGTTATTTTAAATTAGTGCATCAGCTCATCCGCATCTGCCATGGTTTGTGCGGAGGAGATTTAGAGTGGACCATGAGCTTCGTAGAAGATCAAACGCAACGATCTGAGTGGGTTATTACATATTATTACATATGAATAAATCTCGTTTTGCTACCTTTTGGTGGTTAAAGGTGCCTGCTTTGGCCCTAGAGACAAATATGGGCCACGATGACTTAAAAAAATATATATCCGAAAAAGGCCAAATATCACGGAACTGTTTCTTCACTATTTTGTGATGGCAACAGAACGTGCAAGCAAAACGTGTCGCAAAGTTTCCATTGCTCCCCAGTCTGCCTGCACGCAACAGGATCTTTTTTTTTTATCGCGAAATGTAAGATTTTATGCACGTGCAAGGCGTTTCTGGTTGGCGATGGTAGTGGGTGTGGAAATTACCGGAACAAAACCGCCGATTTCTGTTCATTTCCAAATTGTGACCGCTGCAGAGTTTTAATTCCATATTCCTGGCCACAAAGCCAGCACTGGTATCTAGATGAATTGCTATTAATCGTCACCGTCATCATCCATTTCAACTGTGGTCATGCTCTTATACATCTCGGTTTAAATCTGGCCTCAGAATCAATGAGACTTTTGTGTAAAGTATTTTCAGTTTTTAATGCAGTTTACGAGAAGTGTGCTCACGTGGGGGTGAGCAGTTCAATTGATCACCAGGATAGATACACACGAATGGTCCCACAATCATGAATGCTAATATCACCGCAAATCATAATCTTTGCCAATGTTATCAAACATTCGACTGTTTTCTGAGAATTGTATTGGGGGGGGGGGGGGAAAAGATGCAACGGAATGAATATTGACGGCAAAAACATGATCACATCCAATGGGAAGGAACTGCCGTGTATTGTGATAAGGGCTGTGACAGAGAAGGCCGCAAAGTCGTTTCAGGACAAATGCCATCAAAAACTATAGGTCACTTGCAACAAGTTCGTTACACAATCTGAAACTAAGCGGTTTTTTTTTTTTTTACCAGATAACGCCCACTGAGCTAATTTAGCTCTTTTTCAGAAGCGACCTGGCCACAAATGATAGTTCAGCGAAGTGGCTTATCACGTGGAAATTTATAGCAGCCAAACACTCTAAACGCACGTTCTTTAATTGTGGAGGGAAAAACGCGAGGACCCGAAGAAATATCCACGCCACCATGGGGAGAACACGCATCTGCCAGAGGGACATCACTGGGAAAACCCAGCGGAGCGTGTGTGTATGTGTGGAAAACTTCTTTCACACTACACGTAGCCAACCGTGCTAATGGTAGGGCGGCTTCTGAAGCTGTAACAGGATCAAGAACATTTTAAAAGGAGGGGGAAGAAGAGTAGGTCGTCATGCTTTCGGAAAGCTGAAAGTGAAAAGTAAACTTGTGGAGAAGCGTTCAATCAGTGCATACCACCCGCTGTAGGAGGGTACCACCCGCTATAGGAGCGATGATGAACGGTGGCATCGAACAGCAACGGAGTGGGCAGCCAAGGGATGGAACGCGTTCGAGAGCACGACTACCGAGGAGATGGAGTGATGAAATGAGCTCATGTGCAGTAGGTGCTGGGTGGATTGTCGTATTGTAAGATCGTGAGAGTCTGAAGTGGCTTCCGCAGTGGACTGCTCAGGGCCGATGGTGATAATACATCCTTAGGGAGAAAGAATAACAAGTGAATACACAATTAAAGGAGGTGTCACAGTTGTTTTGTAACGTTATGTTTGGGTCACTTCCATATATGGTCATTTCCATCCGAGGAAATACTGTCTTGCAAATAATGCGAGCTGGCCCAATGGTTACCGAGCGCTTTCTCTGCTGGAATTTTTTTTCCGCTACACAAAGTTCACGTGCCGGAGTGACAAGCGATGACAATCAGCTGGCGTGCAGCGCCAGACGGCTCGTCGCACACCGTGGCTGATCTGCTGATGGACCCGCTGCCACCAGAGGTTTCTGGTTGACCCGCGCATACTTGACAGTACCACCCACACTGGACATCTGTGAAAAAGAGCTTCATAGCTCATCGGATTCCGCCAGTCTCAATGAAGATTCTGACGCTGGTTCGAGGGAGGCCTGGGTTTCTGTGAAAACAAATTCGAATGGTGTTTCAAATCGGCAAGCACTTAGCGGTGTTGAGTTAAGCTCCGTGAACTAATTATGAATGCGGATAATTTATTTCACAAATATGTGCCGGACGCATGCGGAACGCAATTGCGTCTCTGCCACACTTAGCACCTGTTCCATCTCATTTGTATTTCTGTATTCTCTTAATAATCACTATTGTGAACATGATGAGTGCAAATAATGTAGCACCCTCTCAGAATGTTGGGTTTGAAGTACGGTAATGTAGCATACATTGTATACATTGTATGCTACATTACCGTACTTAATATTTATGTACATTTTTAATTCATCATCCATTCAGAGGCCTTTGTCAAAGGATTGCTTGACGGTGAGTACACTCTGGTTAGTGCACTGCACTGTAAACCTGGTGACCGAATCAATTGGTATAGTAGCCCACGTGACAACCTGACTGGATTGTAATACGGTAGGTACTTGGTGAGGCTTTCCTGGGTAAACGAGCGTAATTACAACCATAATAACCATCATTAACTGGAGAGAAACTCAATGGGTCGGTGGGTAAGTGGCTGAGTGGATGAGAATGATTTAATTCGAACCCAGAGATCCAGCAGCAGTGCTGGCTCCATGCCCCCCCCCCCCCCCCCCCCGTGGGCATCCGTTGCCTTTCCTTCTTGGCTGCACCCCCCTCCCTCCCCCTCACGGCACTGGTACAGACCTTGCCTCTATCTCTCACATCGAGCCAAAAGCGCGGAATGACTCAGTGGCCAACGCCTCACTGGGATTTCCCAGAAAGCCGTGCTTTGCTGCTCTCCCAGTCACGATCGCGTGCACGCTTGTGCACGCCAACTGCGCAAATCTCGGCCGCAAGGTGGCCAGCGGTAATCGCCCCCGAGATAAATCGTTAAGGGTCCACCGTGTTGAAGAAAAACAAAAGCATTGAGAACGTGGAAGAATCACAAACCCCCCCCTCTCTCCTCTCCCATACTCGATGGCTGAATTCAGGAGGCCCAATCTCAGCACTGGAGCATCCGAGCTGTAAGTTCAGAGACGAGGAAGAAGACTGCACACAAACACGGGGTCCATTCCTAAATCTTAGACCAGTCTTAAATACCTGAGCCCAGGAGGGCAATGACCTGGCCCCCACCCCTCATATGTCTTCCTCCCCCCGGCCTGCTCTGATGAGTCTGGTGTGCCTGCTGATACCTCCAATGCCCCCTGCGACGACTGGCCTGGCACGTCAGGATGTTGCAATGTACGATGTGAGGAAGGATGTGGAGCGAAATATATATATTTTTTATCGATGTAAATATATAATTTTTTTTGTATTCCACTATGAACGTGGCGGCGCAGCGCGTGATGGATGCGCCTTTGCGAGCCAGCGCGCGCGTCTCACGTACGCGTGTGTGTACGTTGAACTTCTTTAGTACCGCACGGAGCCGAACGGTGCTTACCGGAGGTGTGCCGGAAGCGAGCGCCGGCGATGGCTCTTGTAAAGATGCAAAACCTTTAAATGCCCATTCAGTTACGGTCATCGTGCGTTTTTCCACGTTTACTTTTTTACACGTTGAGGGCAACGGAAACGATATTGCCGAACCGCGTCACATTAATTCCTCCTGTGCTTCTGTTCAAAGGCGGCTGGGTCTGGTGCTACCACCCCCCCCCCCCTTGTGTACCGTGCTGGCCTTCATAGGTGCTCGCAAACAACTCTTGCCCCAACAGTCTGTTACGGCTATACGGGGGTTCTTTGTCTTGTATATTAATGTGGGGAGTAGTTGTGTGGTGGTAGCCTGGTATACAGGAAGTCGTGGGTTTGATCACGACCCTGACGCCTGCATATTTGGAGTTTGCGTGTCTCTCTCCCCCGTGGTCGTGTGGATTTTTTTCTGTCCTCCGGTTCCCCCTCCCTCCGCCCCCCACATTTAGAATCAACGGGCGTTCCGAGTATTTGGCGGATTTAAATTGTCCACGCGACAAGCCACCTTGCTGAGCTATCATTTGTGGCCTAGGTGGCTTCTGAAACAAAGAGCTACAGAGCTCAGCGGGGGCCCTACCTGGTTAAAAAAAAAAAAGTCGTGTCTAACCATCGTTCCACGCGTGTCGTTCCCCGTGCCGATGCAGCAAGAAGACACTGAGTGTTAGCGGCCAACGCGCCAGAGACGGAACGCGCCGAGCGCTCGACCGGGATCGTGGCGGCTCGCTTCGGTGCTCAGGCCGCGGCGGCGTGAACGCGCGCCCGCTCACCCGGAGAGACTCGGCGTCGACCCCGCCGCCCCGCGCCCCCCCCCCGCCCCGCCCGGCGACCAAGCGACAGGCGGACGAGCGCGAAACGACGCGCCCGGAGACGCGCCCGCCCGGAGGAGACCCCCGAGGAGGGGCCGCCGGAAAAAGAAAAAAAAACCCAAACCCGGCCACGTCGTCGGCAACCTCGTGGTGCGGCTGGGACCGCGCGACGAGAGACCCGGGGAGTGGTCGTCCATGCAGCGGCCGCGAACTTCGAAGCGGCGGCCGCGGCCAAGCGGAGCGCTGGAGGGAGGGGACAAACACAAAAATGCCCGCCGTGTCGCCTGTGACAGACTGTCGGGGGCAAGTGCTGTTAGCGAGCACCTACGAAAGCCGGCACGGCACACCGGGGGGTCCGTGGCCAACGCCACGCCCGGCCGCCTTTGTCTCCCCAGTGGCGATGTTTGCACACCGCACCAGGTACTCATTTGAGGCCGAGTCGACCTAGGGGAGGCCCACGACCGGTTGAGATAATCGTCACCGGCGTTGGTGGCCGTGAGCGGGAAACGAACTCGGGGTTGACGGCTTCGTAGCGCAGTTGCCGCTAACCACTGCTGCCACCGCTCCTGTCACGTCGCGTGAGCAGCATCGCCTCGTCACGCGTTCCCCACCGCCCCTCCCTACCTCCCTCTCCCCTCCCTCACCTCCCACCCCCCAGCCCCCGGATACGCAAGACCCCCTAAACCGCTGTCGCATTCGGGACGGAGCTCCCGGTACTCGACAGAGGTTCGACGTTTTAAAGCCACCCACCTGCCTGTTTAATGATCGACGATTCAACGCTCTCACTGATCCACTCCTTCCTTGTCTCTCTGTTCTACATCTGCTATCACGGTTGTGGCTCTCAGGAATGCTAAAATTTAGATTTTGCCTCCCGACTTACAGACTGTGGATTTCATGCCCGGCCGGCCATTCTCACTGGCTCGCTGTGGGGGCGAAGCATTTGCACTTCCCCTTGCTCTGCCTTTGCAGAATTCGCCACTGCAACTCTCCCTTCTCACCGTGTATGTTCAACCGCGCTAATCGGAGGTGCGGAGATAAGGACAACAATCTTAACACAAAAAGCAGTTCTAAAAGAATGAGTTTTCAATCTAGATTTAAAAGTTTACAGCTCCAGTGGTTCCTAATATCAGAAGGAAGAGCGTTCCAGACGGCCGCAGAAGCGCATCTGAAAGCACGCAATGCGGTGACCGTCTGGCTCTCTCCATGCCCTGGTTCAATTGCTGCCCTTACGTATAACGCCGAACCGATAACCCTTCAACCTACCTCGAACCTCTTTCATTATTGCCCTCTTAAGTGTAACAACTCACCCCGATCATTGATACTTGACCATGAGCACCGCCCATGACTATTACCGATGACCTGACCACCTGCGAATGCGCCCCGATCTTGTCGAATTTTGAAAGCTAAGCAGGAATTTTTTTTATTTGAGGTGACCGGGTTACTGCCAGGTGTTGTGGACGTAGTGGGCTGGGAGTGGTGGCCAGGTGATGGCCAGCCCTCCCAGCCAATGCCATCTTCTGGGTGGCCAGGAGATGATCGTGTCTGGTGGGTTTTCTCCGGGTGCTCCGGCTTTTCCTCCCACACAAAGCCAGGAACTCGCCGTTGGTGTTTTGGCGAAACATCCCAAATGCAGCACCAGGGCCCTTTTGCAAAAAATAGTCGTCAGACTCGTTGAGTCATTCCTGGTTAAATAATTGGCATCATTATTATCGCTACACTTCATGCCGAATCTGACATGCATCCCCCTTAATTAAACTTCTCACCTTATTCCCTTCTCCCAATCATAACCCTAACCCCAATGCCTCATCCATATTAACCCCCTACCTTAAGCATAATTAACCCCTATGCTAAACCCACAACCATAATAAAGTTGCTCTATAAATGTAAAATTAGATTAGACCCCCGAACGCACCTGCGATTAGCACGGTTGGCTACGTACGGTGCGAAAGAAGTTCAACATACTGTACATCAACCTTAGCGATTTAAAATATTTTGTTTGGGGTTCAGATCGCCACGTGAGCACAATACCAATGTGTGTGTGTCATACACCCTTCACCATCTGACGCCAGTGTATTACTGTTTCAGCAGACCGGCACGCTGCATCGAAATCCAGCACGTTTAACAAGTTGGTACGATGTCTCATTGGCAATTACAGCCAACATCATTCGCAGCATCCAGCAACTACCCCTGGTTGTAACTACCAGCGAAACGTCGTACCAGATTGTTAAATGCGTGTGTGGATCGCTCTCCAGCGCAACCGGTGTGCGTAAGAAATCATAAATCGGGGCGTTTTTTTTTTACCACGTGACGACTTTATTTGTCTGTGTCGGGTGGAGAGGGGTGTCCGACGCACGTCAGCGTTGTAATCGCGCTGCGATCTGCACCAAACCATCAATCACGAATCGTACCATTGGTCGCCACAACCCGCGTGTTAAATGTGTCAACCTGAACACCTGGCCTCTAATTCAAACCTCATTCGTAATTCCTTGATCCTAAGGCCCCTAAGCCCCCTCTCGCCCCTGTGACCTCGTCGTTACGGGAGTGTGCCTGAAATCTCCACGTGTCACTGCTATCGAGTCACGGCACTCCTGGCAAGGTGGCGCAATGGCAGATGCCGACCATGCAGCGACTTGTAAATGGGGGTTGGTGGATCACAAGGTAATGATGCCCGCCCCCCGCCCCCGCCGCTGATGACAATGGTTCTGACACCCAAACTTTGGTGGCAGCAAAGTGATGCCTCTATAGGAGGATGGAGCAGCAAGCAAACACTGCTGAGCAGTCTTCCCTTCTTTGTACGTGTGCACGGTGTCCCCCCGGCGCTCCGGTTTTACTCTCGAATAAGGAATGTGGAGAGGAGCCGGTAGAATACCTCAAGCAGGACCCTCCTCAACAAACGGGGGGAGGGGGGTCTTGAGATTTGTGTGGGTCGAGTGTTTCAAGTCCAGCTGCT